GGGAAGTGAAAGAGTGTGGAGGGCGCTCAGCCTGAGGGTTCCCCACTCCCTATGGCCCAGGAGTCATGGCGGGCACTGCTTCGTTATTTGGGGTCCGACTCCCTGGAGCGGGGCTCCCTCCGTCCTCTCACCCTGACCCCTACCTCCCTCCCAGGCCCTCTCCTCTCCCCTCACCTGAAGCGCAGCCCTCAGGACAAGGCCTTCCTCCCCTCAGACCACGGAGGCTGAGTCTGCAAACCCCATCAAGGCCCACCGTCCAGTCGGGGCTTCCCAGGGCAGACAGCAGGGGCGGAAGCCGGTCCTTTGGGGACCCCTCCTTCCTCCTTTCTCCCTCCTGGAGGTGACCTTGGTTCCGGGCTGTGCCTGATCCTGACTTGAGCCTGCCCCCCTCAGGCCGGGTCCTCACTCCCAGGGTCCCAGGAGGCAGAAGTGAGGAGTGAGGGGGTAGGAGGTGTGGGTTGATGATGCCTCACCCGCCATGACACAGGACTCCTGGCCGGAAGAGCTGCGTAATTTGGGGTCGGACTCCTTTGAGCGGGCCTCCCTCTGTCCTCCCTCGTCCTCTCACCCTGACCCCTCCCTCCCTCCCCGGCCCTTTCCACTCCCCTCACGTGAAGCGCAGCCCTCTCGACAAGGCCAGGGAGGCTGAGTCAGTGGTCCATATCACATCCCAGCACTCTGACAGGCACTTCCAGGGCTGAAAGCAGGGGCGGATGCCCATTCTGTGGGAGCCCCCGTCCTTTTCAGGGACGTGACCATGGTATCTGGCATGGCCTAGATCCCTATGGCATCTGCTCTCCTCAGACCAAGGCTCTGACATCCACAGTCCCCTGAGTTGGTAATGGGTAAGAGGAGTGGTGATGACAGATCTACGCAGACTCTTCCAGGTTCACGGCAAGGGCCGGACTTGAGGGCCATCCCCTCTGGGGTGGATGGATCGTCTCTACTGCGGGTCCTCATGTTGGCTCCTGAGATTTTTTGATTGCCGGCACTGAGGGAGCAGTCCCTTCCCTGCTTCTCTTGAATTTTTGCCCAGCTGCAGCATTCAGAGAGAACATACGTGTAATTACATATATGTGTTTTGAAAACATTTCTAGAGAGACGGAATTATAATATCAATTTATCGTGTTGCACAAAATTGACACCCATGAGTACTTTTTGAATAATACACATCTGTGACATTTGTGAATCTGTCTTTTCGTGTGTGAGAGAGAGAGACAGGGACATTTTAATTCTCCGTTCATCCTCTTCTTATGATGGGTATATGCCATCTACTGGCTGTTATGGATAATACTACAACGAATGAAGGAATGCAGCCATCTCTGAGCTAGTGATTCCCTTTCCTTTGGATATATATGCACAGCAGAGGGATTCGGTTGTTGTAGACGATTTCTCTACAGTGATTTCCATGGTTTTCCCTCATCTGTCGCTTAGGAGGCAGCTTTGGGTTTTGGCTCACTGAGGTATGTACATGTTCAGGGCAGAGATTCTAATGAGATTTACAATAAAATCTTGCCTCGATGTGAGGATGGTTCTCCAAACCCTTTCTCTGGCCTTCCATCCCAAGACAAGAAATACAAGAGTGTGAGCCAAGTCAGACTCTCTCCTCCTCACACACTGGGGAAAGGTTGGGTATGCATTTTGACTCTGAGGCAAATCAGCAGGTGTCTAAAAATCAGGGTCCGGGGGAACGTTCTTCTGTCAAAGGAGCTGTTGCCATTCGTGGAGTTCCAACGTGACTTTGATCCAAGCCACTGTTTTGATTCGTATGACCCCCACCAGAAGGTCAGCCATTTCAATGGAGTCAGGTCTACCTCTCCAACCAGGAAGCAGAGTAGCTGGCTTGTGGCTTCTGGTCTCCACTTCAGGTGGGATTTAACCTTCTCTCTCAAGAAATCCTTGTGGACGGTGGGGAGAGAGCACCTGGCTCCTGTGCTGTGTTCAGCTGTGCTGGGACAAGAGTGGGACACCTTTGTACCTGACCTAGATGGAGATGCCCAGCTGTTATCCACCATCTCAAGGACACTCACACCGCATCTGAGGTCTTGTCCCGGCCACCACGCAGCTTTGTTGCATACAGCCCGCAGGAGGAACTGCAGCTCCCTATAGCCCTGCGCCCCCTTGGCTCGGGCCATGGGCACTCCACTGTGCTCGCCTGGAGTCCCACCCCCACCCGTGTGTGACTTGCTCTTTAGGTCTCAGAGGCCATTTCCTCATCTTCCTCAGATGGCTGCTGCTCCTGAACTCTTACCATTCTAAGGTCAGGGGTGGGTCTAGTTCATCCTAATATCCCACTACTAACGTGGGGCCTGGCTAGAGAAGATGCTCAACAAACACGTGAAGAAGAAAGAAGCCAGTGAGTAGGGGACTTTTATTGACACGAAATTCCTCTAACATTCTTGAAAAACCCAAGAAAATCTAGGGATGTACGTATAGCTTAATTTGAAGAACAACAGGAGGACGGGGATACAAAGCCACAAAGCGCACGTCTTTTACTTTTATTACTCTCTCTTCTTACCATTCCATCTAGTCCACTGCTCAGTTCTTGCACGTGTCTGATTCTTATTCTGTTGTCACGTTATCTAATTTCTGATGACAAAAGTAGGCAGGTTTTCCAACTTGTCTGAACAAGGATAAGATCGTTTTGCCTGAACTTTATAAACAGCTACACGTGTGGCTATTATGCTTACACTCGGATGTCGATGCTAGTTAAACCTTTCATTGAATGGAATATTATTAGAAAGTTACCACAATGAAGCAAAGATAGATTTTGGTGCCGTTGTATAGAAAAGGGACATAAAGACCGGACACGGCGTGTTCCCTCAACCCACCGAGTCCACTGCTACTTGGAACATGGGCTGTTCTCGTCAAGCAGAGTGAAGAATGGGCCTCGTTCCACCCGGGGCAGAAGGATCTGCTCCATGGGGCCCTGGAACCTGCACTGGCTCTGGTCCCCACACTGGCTCTGAGTACAGTTCTCGCTCGGGCTCTATCTTGCTCGTCTCGCAAAGCCTCTTTATACTGGGATGGGAAGGTCCTGGGATCACTCCCATGGATCTTGTTCACGTACTCCAGGACTTTTATCTTGCTGGTTTCAACGTGGACCTTTGGGCCACGCAGGAACTCGTGGCGGGTAGGACCAGTGACGGCCACCGGCCTGCACACCAGGAACTTTTCCCACACCCACCCTCCGGTGGTGAGCCTCCTGGGCGCTCCAAAGATGAAGTGCTCCCTCCCAGCATACGCCCCCATCACACGCAGTACTTCCCAGACCTGCTCCCCTGTGGCCCGGTTGCCCTCCAGGAAGACCATGACCAGGGCGATGACCAGAAGGCTGGTGTTGGGCCTGGTCTGCTTGTCGCTCAGCATCCCATTGTAGGTGGGGCCCAGGATGGTGATGAGGACATGGGAGTGCTCAGAAGGTTCCACTTCCTTCACGACAATGCCGACGAGCAGCTGCAGGAATTGCACCGGAGGCTTCGTTCGCTGAAGATCCCAGGGAAGTAGACCCGGTGATTCTGGGTGACGCTATCCATCATTTCTGCCTTTGCGACCTGCTCCTTCACTTGATACTTGTGCACCAGGAGGTGCACCAAGCCGGCCATTTTCTCATCTAGCGCTTCTCTGAGCAAGGCAGCAGGATCTGCCAGGTCCTCACAGGTGAGAAGTCTCTGTTCTTCTTGGCTGCTGAAGTCCTCACGGGTTTGGCTCCCAGTAGGGATGGCAGCGGCAGTGGAGGAGGAGCAGGATCCCTGAGGACATCAAGATGGAGCAGGGCATGGTACTGGGAATCTCCTCCAGGGTGCTGGGGATCGGAGGAGAGGAGGAGGAGGAGGGAGATGCCGGAAGGAAGGCATCCACCAGGCCGGGTTCCTCACTTTGGGCCCAAAGGCCTGCATCAAGCGTGGACCGAATGGGAAGCATGAGGACCGTGTGTGTGGCAGCGGGCAGGAGTGTGTCAGGAGCTGGGTGACAGGCACACACAGGCCCGGGGGAGAGGTGGAACTTGTGAGTGGGCTCAGCTGACACAGGCACCCTTGGTGGCTCTGACGAAGGCAGACTTGTAGATGCTCCCTTTCAGAGAGCACCCCGTTGGGCCTAGCCCCCGACAATCTGAAAGAGGAAGTAAGGCAGCTCCTCAGGGCCCAGCCGTCCTGCAACCCTGCAGAGCGTCAGGCTCCGGGGCTGACAGAAGGATAGGGCGCTGTGGGCAGGTGGAGCCCTGGGTACACATGGAGGATCTGTAGCTCACCTGGACTCCTGGCACTGCCTGGGCACCCTCTGCTCTGTCACCTGAGAACGCTGCCTCCAACTAAGGTCTTCCTCTTGGTTTCTGGAGCTCCTTTGAGAGAGTTTGTGGGGAGGTCCCCAGGCTGCAGATTGCAAGCTCAGCCCTGGGGCTCCTAAGATTGCTAAGGAGGGTGGTTTTGGACTCAGAAGGGTCTCCACTGTCCTGGCCTGGGAGGTCCCCTCTCTACTCATTGAGGCCCTCACCTTTCCCCTGGCAGGCCCCAGCCCCCAGACCCCTGCTGGCTGAGGCAGCTCTCATAAGAGGAGCTCTCATCCTTGTGGGGAAGCAGAATTAAGGAGAGTGTCCCATGTCTGGCCTCCCCTGCTAGAGGGAACAGCAAGCCGTGGCCAAATCCCTGGGACCTGTCCTGGGAGGAGGAACCTGCTTGGTCCTCACTTTGAATCCTGGCAAGACCTGGGCCTCTCCTCTGCTGAGCCAGGGCCACCTCCCTAGCACACCTGAAGAACAGGTGAGGGGAGCCCATGCACTTGTCATCCGCTGGGTGAGCCCGTGGTTGACTGAGGGCCAGGGCACAGCTGGCATCTTGCAGGTTGGGTTCAGGTGAGTCGAGTCCCCTTGGGTGTCAGCTTGGCTCCTGGCAGGCCCTGGGCTACTAGCTCTGCTCTCCTGAGTCCAGCCTCCTCAGCCCGCAATCTTCTCCCTAAGAACCATGATCCGGAAATAAGAGAGCGGTCCCCACCCGACTGCCCTGCCCGGCCCAGGCTCCCCAGGCCTGATTTCTACGGACTCCAAAATGTGTTCTGGGGTGGGGGTACCCTGAGTCTTTTCTCAGAATCCTCACCTCGACTCCTGGCAGCTCTTGAGACCACCCTGTCTGTTGACCAGTTAAGCGCCTTCTGTAGACTCAAAGATGCTCTTACTTCCAAAGTTTCACCTCTGTGAGACTTGGAGACAGAGGTGAGTGTGCACCGTTTCCAGACATGTCCTCCTGTGGTTTCTCAAGGGTGACAGAAGAACAGGCTGCAGGGCTGTGGGGTGGCGACGGGAGGCTGGGATGGGGGCTCTTTGCCTCTGGTGTCCTCGAGATGTTCCTATTTCCTCCCGACGGGGCTCGGGGCCGTGCACTTCTGACCTGCAGATGGGTCCTGCAGGCCAAGGTCACCCTCTGTCTCTCTGAGACTTTGGAGCAAGCTGGGGAGCAGTATCCCTCTCCCTTAGTGCTTAGTGCCTGGGAAGTCCCAGGGCTGACGGCAGAGGCAGGCATGCGTGAGGAGCCTCATATGAGGACTGAGGTCACCCAGTCTTAGCTCAGGGCCCTGGGACCCCTCCCCATGCTGACCTGAGGCCCCGCTCCTCAGAGACAGGCTCTCTTCTCCCTGACACAGTGAAGGCAGAAGCCACGGGTCAGGGCATGTGGCCCCCCTGTCCGGGGCCTTCCAGGAGAACGCAGAAGCTGACTTTCCCCTCTCTTCTGGGGTCTAATGTCTGATCAGTCTGGTCTGGGTCTTCCTCTTCACCCTTGACAGGGCCCCTGCCCAAGCCATCTGCTGTCCGGAATTCTGCTTCCAAAGATTCCCTGGGCTGCATTCGAGAGAAGCCTCGTTCCGATGGCAGGGGTGGGGGCAGGGGCACGGATAGCTCTCCTCTGTCCCGGGGTCCTGGATCCCCTCAGTCTGTACTCTGACCTCTCCTTGACTCCAGGCAAGGGTCTATGTCCTCCCCACTCTTAGAAAAATACAGCTCTCCACTCTCCAGCTTCACCCCAGTCCCATCTCCAGGCTCCTGGCCACCAAGGGTAACTGAAGCAGGGCCAGTCACTGTCTCCAGCCCCAGCTCCAGCTCCCCCAACTGGAAACCCCACCCCCTTCATGAAGGACAGCCCTCAACTCTCCAGCAGAGCCCCAGTTCCATGTCTAGCCCCCTGGACAGCAAAGGACACTAAGGCGGGGCCAGTGACTGGCCCCAGCCCCGGCTCCTCCAACCCCAGAGCACCACACCTAAGAAAGGACACCCCTAAGCTCTCCAGGAGAGGCCCTTTTCCATCTCTAACACTCGGGCCAGCAAGGAACACTGAGGCATGACGATTCACTGAACGCAGACCCAGGTCCAGTTCCCCTAACCTCAGAGCCCCTGCCTTTTGGCAAGGACACCCTTCAGCGCTCCAGCAGAGTCCCAGCTCCATCTGAAGCCCCCTGGCTCAAAGGGGACACTATGGCAGGGCCAGGAACTGGCCGCGCCCCAGCTCAAGCTGCTCCAAAACCAGAGCGTCTTCTCTCAAAAAGACAGTACTCAGCTCTCCAGCACAGCCCCAACTCCATGTCCCTCTCCCTGGCAAGCAAGGTACACAGGCAGGGCCAGTACCTGTCCCCGTCCCAAATCCCGGGTCCCCAAACCACAGAGCACCCCCTTCAGAAAGGAGAGTCCTCAGCTCTCCAGCAGAGGCAAAGTTCGATTTCCAGCCCCCTGGATAGCTAGGTACACTGAGGCAGTGCCAGTCACTGACCCAAGCCCTAGCCCCAGCCCCCCCACACCCAGAATCACCTACCCCCCCGCAAATTACAGTCCTCAGATCTCCAGCAGAGCCCCAGTTCAATCTCCAGCCCAGTGGCAAGGAGACACTGAGGCAGGACCAGTCCCTGGCCGCAGGCCCAGCTCCAGCTACCCCAACCGCAGAGCACCCACCTCTCAGAAAGGAGAGCCCTCAGCTCTCCAGCAGAGCCCCAGTCCCATCTTTGCCCCCAAGGCCAGCAAGGGACACTGAGGTAGGGCAAGTTATTGGCCCAAGCGCAGCGCAAGCTCCCCCAAACCCAGAGCCTCCCCCTCTCAGAAAGGAAGGGCCTCGGGTTTCCGGCGGATCCCCAGTTCCATCTATCGCATGCTGGCAGGCACGGGACATTGAGAAAGTCCAGGTCCAGGTCTTCCATCCCTAGATCCAACCTTTTTCAGAAAGGACAGCCCTTTGCTCTCCAGCAGAGCCCCAGTTCTATCTCCAGCTCCATGACCAGCAGGGGACACTGAGGCCGGGGCTGACGCTGTCCCAAGCCCCAGCTCTAGCTCTCCCTAACTCAGAGCCACCGCCCGAAGAACGCACAGGCCTCAGATCTCCAGCAGAGCCGAGTTCCCTGCCTGGCCTCCTGGCCAGCAAGGGACACTGAGGCGGGGCCAGTGACCGGGCCAGCCCCAGCTCCAGCTCCCCTTCCCCAGAGCTCACCATTCCCAGAAAGGACGGCCCTCAGCTCTCCAACAGATTCCCAGTTCAATCTCCGGCCTCCTGGCCAGCAAGGGACACTGAGGCAGGCCCAGTCACTGGCCCAAGCCCCAGCGTCAACTTCCCCGACCACAGAGGCCCCCTCTCAGAACGTTCAGCTCTTAGAACACCAGCCAGCCCCCAGTTTTCTCCCCAGGGCCCTGGCCAGCAACAATCAGGCCGGACCCATCACCGACCCCAGCCCCACCTCCGGCTCCCCTAACCCCAGAGCTCCCCCTCTCAGAAAAGACAGCCCTCAGCTCTCCAGCAGAGCCCCAGTTCGATCTCCAGCCCTCTACCCAGCATGGGCCACCGAGGCAGGGCCAATCACAGGCCCTAGCTCCAGCTCCAGCTCCAGCTCCCCAACCCCAGAGCCTCACCCTCTCAGAACGGACATCCTCGGCTCTCCTGCAGAGGCCCAGTTCCCTCTCCAGCCCCCAGGCTAGAAAGGGACACTGAGGCAGGGTCAGTCACTGGGCCCCAGCCCCAGCCCCAGCTACAGCACCCCTAATCCCTGAAATCCCCTTTCAGAAAGGACAGCCCTCAGCTCTCCAGCACAACCCCAGTTCCATCTCCCTCTTCCTGGCCAGCAAGGGACACTGAAGCAGGGCCAGTTACTGGCCCCAACCCCAGCTCCAGCTCTCCCAACCTCCTAGCTCCCCGTCTCGGGAAGCAAAGCCCTCAGATCTCCAGCAGAGCCCCCGTTGCATCTCCAGGGCCCTGGCCTACAAAGGACACTGAGGCAGGGCTAGTCACAGGCTCCAGCCCCAACTCCAGACCTGCCCCCTCAGAAATGACAGCCCTCAGATCTGTAGCAGAGCCCCACTTCCATCTCTAGCCCCTGGCCATCAAGGGACATTGAGGCAGGGCCACTCATTTGCCTCAGCCTCAGCTCTGGCTCCCCCAACCACAGAGCCACCCCCTCTGAAAAGGACAGCCCTCAGGTCTCCAGCAGGAACCGAGTGTTCTCTCTCCTCCCCTGGCCAGCCAGGGACACTGAGGCAAGGCCAGTCACCGCCCCAGCCCCAGCTCCAGCTGCCCCCAACCCCAGGGGCCCTCTCTCACAAGGGCCAGCCCTTCGCTCTCCAGCAGAGCCCCAGTACCATCTGCAGCCCCCTGGCCAGCAAAGGACCCCGATGCGGGGCCAGCCACTGGCCCCACACCCAGCTCCAGCTCTCCCAAACCCAGAGGTCCTTCCTCTCATGAAGGACAGCCCTCAGGTCCCAAGCAGAGCCCCGGTTCCATCTCCACCATCCTGGCCAGCCAGGGACACTGAGACAGGGCTAGTGACTGGCCCTAGCGTTAGCTCCAGCACACCCAACCGCAGAGCCTCCCCCCGTCACACAGGACAGTCCCCCTCTCTCCAGCAGAGCCCCCGTTCCATCTCTAGCCCCCTGGCA